ACGACTTCATGCTATTTAGAAATAAACTTTATTTAGAATTACGTCTGATTCAGAAACATACCTGCCATCACTTAAACTAATCAGAGATGTAGATTAAGACAAGCAATGTAACTCAGTGTGATATGACTATTCTTAAACATGTGCAATCATGATTCTACCTGACCACATATTTACCTGCAGAAGCCTGCGGTGCAGGAAGTTATGAGTTGAAGGGAGTCTGTGTACCGTGTGGCGTTGGTCAGTATCAGAGTGAGTCGGGCATGACGTGTTGCCACCAGTGTCCGGCAGGTAAGGGTTTTCATTGATGTACATGTATGTGGATTTATTTACTCACTCGCACATGTGTACGCACATATCTATTTGAATATTATATATATATATATATATATATATATATATATATATATATATATATATATATATATATATATATATATATATATATATATATATACGTGGGTACGCACATACACATCTGAATACTTTATCTATATTTATAAGCCAATGTATATACCTCCCTCTCTCTATTATATATATATATATATATATATATATATATATATATGTATATATATATATATATATATATATATATATATATATATATATATATATATATATATATATATATATATATATATATATATATATATATATATATATATATATATATATATATATATATATATATATATATATATATATATATATATATTATATATATATATTTATATATGCCTATTTGTGTCTGTATGCGTGCGTGCATGTGTGTATGTGTGTGTGCTTATGTGTGTGCATGTCTGCGTGGTGTGTGTGTGCCTATGTGTGTGTGTGTGTGAGCGTCTGTGCCTGTGTTACTCGACCCCTCCCCACAGGACAGACCACGGCCGCCATGGGGTCACAGAGCCCCACGGACTGTACGGCCGACCCGGACAAGAACTTCCCCTACCACCTGGGCTACTGGGGCCCGCGGGGTGAGAGGAAATTTGTGAAAATATCGCGTCACGTGTGTGTTCAGGCCCCGCCCAAGCCGGAGAAAAGGTCAAGGAAACCTCGGAGTGATATAACAGGTTGGGAGTGCTCACTTTATAAAGCACGTGTGGGTGCTTGCATTGGAATAACATTGTCGCATGACTGTGCATGCCTGTTAGTCCGTCCGTCTATATGTCTGTCTATTTTCATGTCTGTAATTTAGTCTGTCTGCCTGACTACCTGTCTGCCTACCTCTCTGTCTGTCTCTTTATCTGTCTGCCTACCTGCCTGTCTACCTGCCTGCCTGCCTACATGTCTATCTCTTTATGTGCTGTCTGCCTACATGCCTGTCTACCTGCCTGCCTGTCTGCCTACCTGCCTGTCTATCTGCCTGCCTGCCTGCCTTTCAGTCTACCTGCCTGTCTACCTGCCTGTCTGCCTACCTGTCTATCTCGTTATGTGTCTGTCTACCTGCCTGCCTGTCTGCCTGTATGTCTGCCTACCTACCTGTCTACCTGCCTTCCTGTCTGTCTGTCCATCTATCTATTTTGACTATGCCCATTTAACCCCTCTATACATCGCAGTGAGCAAAGCCTTCAAGATCGGCACCCTGGTTGTGTTATTTCCAGTACTCACTGTGTGCGGCGTCCTTACGTGTTGCAGGTCAGTCAGTCTGGTCCTACTAAATCTATCTACAGTCGGTTTGGTCCTACTAAATCTATCTACAGTCGGTCTGGTCCTACTAAAACTATCTAATGTCGGTCTTGTCCTACTAAAACTATCTACAGTCGGTCTGGTCCTACTAAAACTATCTACAGTCGGCCTGGTCTTACTAAAACTATCTACAGTCGGTCTGGTCCTACTAAAACTATCTAATGTCGGTCTTGTCCTACTAAAACTATCTACAGTCGGTCTGGTCCTACTAAAACTATCTACAGTCGGCCTGGTCTTACTAAAACTGTGTTTACCCGTGTGGTAAGAAATGGTGTCACCCCCCCCCCCCCCCACTTCTTCCAATAATTGTACACGTTCGATTTAGTGCCACCCCCTACTATTGTATGATATTCACTAGAGAAACCATTGTTTTGACTGTTGACGGTAACCTAGATCTTTATATGCGTGTTCTGAAATACATTCTAATTTCCAGGTACATCAGTGTGGGCGATCTCAGCGCAATCGATGACGTGGCTTCAGGTAAATGCACTAATACATTTTTATATTTAATCTGACATGTTACGCTCTATGTATTTTTATGTGCAGTGGATTTTAGTAATCGCGGAAGAGCGTGGGATATAGGTAATCCATAGGCAAATACTTTACCTGCAGCTACAGTATTTTTTTAACAAACCGAAAAACCGCGGCAAAACTGTCCGAAAATGTTAATTAAAAAAAAAATTATGGTCGGCTGTGGGCCTCAAAAATGTTGCGGACATAGAGAGCAGAGTTTCTTCCAGGCACCTCTACCGCCCCCCCCCCTCCAAACGAAATGAAATTTATATTATTTATATAGAAAATATATACTTTTAACAGAACAGTGTCCACCCCACCCCCCCCCGAAGAAAGTCTTCCGCCCCCCCCCCACCCCCGAAAATTTCAAGTGCCCCCCGGAGAAAAAAGTCTAGAAGAAACACTGATAGAGAGAGGGAGAGAGGTGCACACATGGTCTTTTATATGTTAGGATATATACACATATATACATATGATATTAATATTTATTATATATCCATTGATTTATATAAACGTGTGTATGTGTGATAAAAGAAGATAGCAGAAAATACCCTTAGATTACTATGATCTATTATCGGTTTTATCATTATTTACCTCCCCTTGTTCCAGACCAATCAACCCCAACTAGACCCCCCTTCCTAGGCCCCACTCTTATCCATAACTGTTAAGTCTTAATTTAATTTTCATCCCCTGACACCCCCCCCCCCCTGTAATACAGGCGAAGCTGCAGATAAAATACGAAAGCTCAAGAAGAAGAAGAAGAAAGAGCCTGAAGTAGAGCAGGACGCAGTCACTGGGTTAGCGACAGGGGCGGCACCCCCCTCCCAACACACGCCAATGGAAGCGTGAACCGTCAAGCGAGAGTTGGACCGCTTTAAGGGAGGCTATCTGACTGTTGAACATTGAATGTGTATTTATATTAGGAGTGCTGTCCCATTCTACGGCTTGAACACGGTTATTACTATAGCTTTATTAAATGGTTAAAATTGAGAGTTGTATCAAATTAAAAAGCCTGTGTTTAGTAACCTCAACAAAATTTAATATGAGCTTGTGCGCGGATTTAGCTGCTTATAAAGAAAATGTGTATATCTTATTAAACATTTAGACTCAACACTTACTAATTTTCAACTGGAAATGTTTTGTTTAAATAAATGAACATTATGGTGTAAATTATTTTTTTAAATCATTTTCTAAGACTACAGCAAGTTATTTTCTACTCTTTTTGAATGAAAAAAATAACATTTCAACGATGTTCACAGTTCTAATGTGTTCGTCAAATGACCTACTATGCGTACACATTCCCGTACATTCCTAGTCTTAACCGAACGCTAAACCTATCATTCAGTTTATGGGCGTGTCAGTGGCTCTAGTGATACAATATTGTCGTTTGTACACGTTATGTGTGTACAACAACTAATTATATATATATATATATATATATATATATATATATATATATATATATATATGTGTGTGTGTGTGTGTGTGTGTGTATATATATATATATAATTGATTATTAAATTTTAGTTTGCTATTCAAAACAGTGTTCTTTAATTAATTTGTTATTTGTTTTAGTCATTTAAAAGTGTTGTTATCATTATTGTCTTTCACTATTTGTTAAGATAGTTACAGTTAATTTATTGATTAGGGTAGTAAATATTTTTTGAAATACCCGCGAGATTTGGAACAGGGCGAATGGCAGTTTGTTGTGTAAAACCTCTCTAATATCTCTCGGTCCATACAACCTCAGAGGCCGTGTGGTCTGTACTACGTCCTACTGGGGGAATTCAGTTCGCTCTAGTGGATACGAACTCTCTAATATCTAAAGGTCCATATAACCTCAGAGGCCGTGTGGTCAGTACGGCGTCCTAATGGATGTGTCCAACCGGCTCTGGTGAGTACCGAACATGGCGGACAGTGTAAGGGTGTCCAAAGGAATAGATTCCATTCCTGATGTTAGGCATTGAGGAGCTGTATGTACTTGTGGATTTCTTCTCTAGATTTTAATATTTTTTTGTTCTATTCTCTATAGTAGATATAAACATTGGCACTCTATATGAACTGTTTATGTGTATTTTGAAGGAATATATTCGGACGCTTTAATATTTTTATAAGTATAGGTGTTCCGAATTTACTAGGCATCAACGGAATATGCAGGATTTTGTAGTGGAAAAGAGAGGTTTAATGGCTGTAATTAAAGGTCCGGCAACTGTCGTTTTAAAGGTCGATGGTTAGTTCATCGTCTGGCGCCCTGTACCACGTGACTGGAGCCAGACGGTAAGCTACCCCACGTGCATCCGGTAACTCCAGGCTGTGTCCAGCAGCTGTGGTCACCTAATCATGGAATGTTCGGTCTGATTCCAGAAATTACAGCTATAATCACCAAACTGTTTTAAAATTGCTAAACAGGGTGTCGTTTTCCGTGAATTACCATACCCAGTCACAGATGGGATATGATTCACACTGTCACCATCACCTCCCCCCCCATACACACACACTAACACACACACAATTGAGCGCGGGTAAGAGCACACAAACGTACACGCACACACACACGCGCACATACATTAGTGTGTGTATGAGTCTGCGATTGAGTATGTGAGTGAGTGGGTCGGTGGGGGAGTGAGTGTGAGAGACAGAAAGAAATATTCCAGAACTACTCATTAAAAGAGGACGGTATGCAAAAAAGGTGTGGTAACTTCTTGTTTAGTTCATACCATACACAATGTAACACCAGCTAATAGTTTTAATATAATATAACACAAACAGTTTAATTAATTTAGATCCGTTTTATTTGACCATTAAAAAAAAAAAATAAAACAACTCTGTTTTCGAGTTGAATGATGAAAATATTCAAACGTTTTTTTTTTCATTTAATTTAATCCCAATTTTCAAATCTGAAATCTCGACATGAGATTATACCTAAAATCTTGACATGAGATTAGATAAAAAATCTTGACATGAGATTATATAAAAAATCTTGACATGAGATTATATAAAAAATCTTGACATGAGATTATATCAGAAGGCTGTTGTCGTCAGGTTAACTTTCTCTCTTACACCTTCCACAGTAAACCGGTCTCACTTTCTCTTGGGGCGAACGGGCGCAGTTGTCCGCATGAAACTCGCAGGAGTTGGCGTAGGTCACGCCGTCACTGCCGCAGACGGGTAGGTAGATCCTGAAACAGGCGCGGCTGGGGCAGGGTGGGATCCAGTCCTGAACGTAGCACTTCAGGCACTGGCCTTCGTAGGCCACGGTGACGTCAGGCCGGTCGCAGTTGGAGTTCCGGAGGTCGCAGGAGTTGGGGTAGGTCTGGTTGTCCGTCCCACAGACGGGGAGGAGGATATCCGGACACGGCCCGGGACAAGTGCCGGTCTGTCCCAGGGCAGCGGCTGTAGGGTGGGAGAATGAGAAATCTAGAAACAGGTTACACGATTGTACATGGTGGAAAAATGCAAGGGGCGATTTTCTTTCAGGCATTTCTCGTGGGAGAACTGACCACCTCACCTCCCTAGGAAATATCAAGTTCTCACCCCCTCCCCCCTTTCCTCACAAAGAAAACAGTCTTAAAGAGACATTGAGTAAGAGTGGCATGAAAAGTCGCAATAATTCAATTAAAGATAAAAAGTAATTTTTTTTTTATAAATAAGTATGTGGGTATCTGAGAAGTCATAGAAGTTTGATATTTTAGTCAAACTGTACCCATTTTTAACAGTAAAGCGTTGGTGTGTATTAATGAACAAGCAAGCACATTTTGTATTTGGGCTTTTTATTTTCATTTAGAATTTTAATGAACTTTTACGAAAGGCAAAGAATAAAAAGCTAATTATTTCACGAGCTATATGCATCGACACTTGACTCACTTAAACGTTAGAAACTATGTGTTAAGACCACAACCGGACATTTCGCTACACCCAAAAGAAATAAAAAGAATAATAAAAAACAAACAAACGCAAATGTGGTCTGTCACACACCCTCACTACAATAAAGACGACGGCTATTATAATTTAACACGAAGACAACAATACATAATCTTTCGACTTAGAACAGGCCACAACAGACTAAATCAACACATGCACAGAAAACTGAAGGTTGGGTGTGGCGAAATGTGCCCTTGTGGCAAGGCCCCGGAAAATACGGAGCACGTACTCCAGGAATGTACCTTGTATAGCCAGGCACGAGTCAGACACTGGCCCCTGCCCACCCCACTCAGGGAAAAATTATATGGGGCACCTGCCAAACTAGAGACCACAGTCCGGTTTGTCCACGAAGTTGGACTTGTTGTCTGAATCCTCCACCATATTCTCAATTAAGAACGAAGAAGAAGATGTGTTAAGATAGCACACCATGATCAACTGCCGAATTCGTGACCTTTGTGTCGAGTGTTCTGCTAATCAAACACTTAAGCTCATAACATTTGCTAAAATGTAATAATTTTGTAAAACCTCAAAGTGAATGTGTTTAGATTCGTTTGACCACACTAAGATGCAACATTTACTTGAAAAAATGAACGTCACAATTTAGCCCTATCAGTTCTTACAGTCTCTCAATCTTCTTCGTTTGCATTTATTGAAGGTGATTTCCTCTAATACAGTATTTGGTATTTCCCGTCAAATTGTTATTCGCAAAATAACCCGTTCGCTGAATCCGAGTTTAGCTTGCTTAAATGTCTAGATTTTATTTCATACACTTAGTTCAACCAAGAACAATACAAGGAAGCATTTCTTAATTATTATTTTTTTCGTTTTTCTTTGTAGATAGGCTTCTATCCCCAGCAAAAGAGCCTGATCTGCGTTGGAGTCGGAACTCGGGACAATTGGGTTCTCAGTCATGAGCTATCCTACGCGACCACGTCGACCCCATACGTCAAGTTTGAAGATAATACACTTGCTCACCATACGGACATTCCATCGCGTTAGGCCACAATACAATCAAACAGAATACCTTAATGAAACAATCCATCTTCACCGATATAATCAAATTAAAGAACTTACCAAAAAATCCGACCACCAACACAATCAACAGGGCTGTCATCTTGCTTTAAACACGTACACAAGTCGGAGAAAATATTTGGCTGAGGAAATAAATCGAACCTGATTTGTATTGATTTCATATCAATAACAAAAAATTTTAAGTTGTAATCAGTGGCGTGGGTGAAGCTGGGGTGTGTGACTGTTAGGGGTTAGAATTCCAGGGGCGTAGCGAGGGGGGGGGGCGGGGGTGCGGACCGCACCGGGTGACACCATTTAGGGGGTGACACAAAGGCAAAAAATAGCAAATCGAAATAGCTTGAGGGGGGGTGGGGATGCAAATCAAAAGTTTGAGGGGGGGTGCAAATCGAAAATTTGAAAGTTTGTCCCCGGGAAGGGTCGCTACGCCTCTGGGGGGTGACACCATAAGTGCCGCACCGGGTGACACCCGACCTCGCTACGCCACTGTAGAATTCCACACCCAAAATGTGAGTTGTCTCTCGTGAAGCTAGTTATGTGGGACGGTGATCTCGTGTGGCTGAATGTTTACAATTTTAAAATGATATACAACCATATACATTTACTTACTGTTAATCGTTAAAATTTCTGTAAGGGCATTCTGCAAGGAATGCCTATTCACTGTCAACTGCACATAGCCTTCGAAGTGTATTCGTAGCTAGCTATTTGTAACTGACCAATTATATTATTATTTTAATTGTATAGTCCTGCTGATAGTAAATAGAGTACACTTTCGAACAAGGTGATCAATGGGGTAGGTGAAGCAGAGTTTACCTGTTTCAGTGACATTGGCATATAAGGGATAGTGTGGTCAGCACTATGCCAAGCTTTACTCTCCCTAAAGTGAGTCAGGTACCCATCAGAGCTGGGTTGACTCAGGGACGTTCTACGGGTTACGATCCGGATATCGAACTCGGCTTTCAAGTTAGCAGTCGTATACCCTACCGCTAAACCACGCCGTCCCACTGCGTGGGACTATAGATCTACATAAGACTACATTTTGCCTTAATAGTGAACATAAAGGATCACGGGAGAAAAATGCTTCTCTTTGATGATTCAGTGTACGAAAAGACGTAAAAGGATATTCGTAAGGTTTTTAATTGGAATAGAACACATCTAAACCAACACAATAACGGAAAGTAACGAGGTATGATTTTCTCGAGTGATGGAAAATGCTACTAGATAACAAACTGTGATCTCAAACTTTATTTCATCTAATGGCACCATCGCTTAAAGACTAAAAAGTACTAGATCTAGTACTAGACTAATTAAAACATTACGATTTTGTTTGAATTTAGTGAGAAGATATTTCAATACTATTACAGTTATACTACTGAAACTAGATTGACGTATTCATATACAATATACACATTTTAAAAAGTATAACACAGTTGTTAAGATCTTGGTGTATCCTACTGAGATTTAAGCACATTGCACTGCATTACACTACGTACCTATTCCAGTTAACTCTTGCAGTGAATCAAACAACAAGGTGCAAGATTTTATACAGAGCGGGTAAGTCATTATCCAAACATGTGAGATTCTCGTTCTTTGATAGAGTTAACCTCGCTTGGTAAATTAGCTGTACTTATGTGTACCTTAATTAGACCAGCGTAGCTTGTGGAAAATGTCAGCTCAGTTAGAGTAGGACGATGATAACGACGATAATTATTGTCAGAGCGGCCAGCAAGATAATGAATCCCAATTAGTGACCACCACGTGACGAAGCACATAAAAGTGCTTCATATATCTGGACTCAACAGTTGACTCTATCTGGTATTAAACATAGTGTAACAGGTGAGGTTTTTGTTAGGAGCGGCGTATACACGTTTTCTAGCTGCATATTACCTGTATAATAAAAAAATAAATAACAATGGCGAATTATAAACAAAAAGTTAAGTAACACATTGTGACCTACTTAGGTCTTGTTAATAGTTTAATGTGAATTTATTTGTACTCAATTGGCACTGAGCTCCCTATTTTATTAAATGATGTAATTTTTATTCAGACCTATTTGAAGATATTCACGACGATGCTCGTGATACTTGTCTCTTGACCCCCCCCCCCAATAGTCCTTGACCTTAGTTACGCTATCCCATAATTAATCGGTGATAGAGAGATATAAAAAGAGAATTTCAGAATGACACGAGGCGCGAGACACTCACAGACATTTATTTCAGCTCTACTTAAAAATCCATGTTGTTATGTTTAACTAGTTAGTAATTATCTTGAAGCAGTGGCGTGGCGAGGTCGGGTGTCACCCGGTGCGGCACTTAATGGTGTCACCCCTCCCCCAGATGCGTAGCGACCCTTCCCGGGGACAAACTTTCAAATTTTCGATTTGCACCCCCCCCTAAAGTTTTCGATTTGCACCCCCCCCCCCCCCCTCAAGTTTTCGATTTGCACCCCCCCCCCCCTTAATCTTTCGATTTGCACCCCCCCCCCCACCGTCAAGTTTTTCTCTATATATTTTGCTATTTTTTGCCTTGGTGTCACCCCCTAAATGGTGTCACCCGGTGCGATCCGCACCCCCCCCCCCGAACTCCCCCCCCCGCCCTGCCTTGAAGTTCATTTGTATTTCGTATCTTATTTTCTATGTGAAGGCTGTGTTAGTTTATTAGTTATCCTATCTAGTGTTAGTTATAGTTAAATGTGTGTGTGATATTCATGAGTCAGAAAGTTGTGCTTTCAACATTCCTATATATTTCCTCCATTGTATTTTTGTAATTAAGCTTGTTGCCTTTTAGATAGTTTCTGTTGTGAATAAAACTTTGACTCAGGAGCTCTTATTTTCTATTTTATACACTAGACCAGAGGTCTCCAAACTACGGCCCGCTGGCCGGATGCGGCCCGCGATGTCCTCTCATCCGGCCCGCGGAGATCTTTTTGTTCACGGATAAACAGTTTGTTGGTGATGACTGAGGAACTTTGCCCAGGAAAATCAAAGACATGCCTGGAAGAAACTGGCCCCCGAACTGAAATTTGATAGTTAATGCGGCCCTCGGACTGAAAAGTTTGGAGACCCTGCACTAGACGTTAGTTGACGAGTTCACTTAGAGTTTCTGTTTTAGTAGTCTTTTATAGTTATTAATTAGATTAATCAGTTAATCAGAGACCAACGCCGATAGAATCCGGGTGTTACGGTAAATAGTTAGTAATTAAGCACTTAACAACATTCTGTAGTAATAACTGGCTTCACCCCCTTTTCACGGGCTACATATAATTTATTCAAAATAAAGGAAATATAGACTAAAGTACAAGTAGGCCTACGCTTTCAGTGGCGGAACTAAAAAAAATGGCCATCCCGCAAAAACATTTTAAGCCCCCTCTCCCCATATAGTATAGGCCTATATAATTATGTATATAACGAATATGTGGTACTCATTGCTGGCCTGTTCGGTTTTTTTATTTAAAAAAAAATGTCAATCAATCTAAATTACAACATCATGTCATGTGTGTAAGAGCATTAGTGCGTTTTCAGAAAATCAGTTTTATTTTATCCCTGCTATAAGATCTCTTAAACGCATGTCGGTCAAAAGAATATAAAACATGAAAGCTTTGTATAAATAATGGTGTCTCGTGTTATGTTTATTTTTTTTTTTTGTATTTATATTATTATTTTAAATACATTTTCTTTTTGTACAATGTCTTTCTTAATAAGTATTTTATAAAAAAATAATAATTAAGAGAAGTTATGGCTTTTTAATTTGATTAGTACAAATCTATTAAAAGGAGATTTTGAGCACCCCTATTTGACTATTTAAAAAGGGAAATAAGTCATAGAGGTGGTTTGAACGTTTGCTTATCTTTGATAAGTTTGATTGAAGGAGAATAAGGACTCGGCTTTCACAGTGGTTTAAAAACAAAGGAAAGAAGAAAATACAAGAATGTGGGGTGGTGTTTATGGAATAAACATACTCCAACCGCAGCTAATCTTTTTAAATAAACCGGGAGTGATGTCCCCTAAACTTTCTCGAATATTCTTATATATAACAACAGGGGATGGGAACTCGGGATATAGTTAAGAATTTTAATCCATTTTAAATACTTAAACTTTTTAAAATAGAATACAATCTCATTGAAAAAAGGATTGCTCACCAAGCGAACGCCGAAAAAAGATGTGTATAATAGTGCGGAATATTATTAGTACTTTATAAATTCACATGCGTTTTATGAGAAATCGGAAAGAGTGAAAATTAGTACTTCCGGTCAACGGAAATTACTCAAACTTTGAAATAAGGTAGAGAATTAGATCGTTTACTTACGTGTGAAATTCATTTATCTATCTGAAATAGTACTCAAGTTATAGGCTTTTGAAAAATTCAAAGTAGAAAAAGTACCACTTCCGATTATTGGAAATCGCTCAAAAGTTGATATGGATCTACGAGTTTGATAAAATACTTATATATGAAATTTCATCAACCTAGCTGTAACGGTACTCAAGTTATCGTGTTTACACACACACAGACAGACAAACACACACACACAGAAATACGGACAAGATTGCAAAATTATGTTTTTCCGTATCAATGAGATGTAAAACGTCGAGATTTGTAAAAATCAAAAAAAAATTTTGCACGATTACAAGACTTTCTCTATACTTCGTATATATATCTACGAGAAAGTAAAAACAACCATCAAGTCAACAATGCAAGATAATTATTTTTTTTTACCTATAATTTTTTTTTATTATGGTCGACTTTGGGTCCCTACATGGCAAATGTATGGGACTTTCAAATCATAATGTTCGGCCAGAGATACGCCTAGCAGGCAACATTGTTCTTAAATTAGACTTTGCTATCATTCCTGGTATAACTGTCATTTTCGAGAGTATATATGTTTTTCACTGGGCTAGACAAGTTAACTGTTTTTCACCAGCTAGACAAGTTAACTGTTTTTCACCGGCTAGACAAGTTAACTGTTTTTCACCGGCTAGACAAGTTAACTGTTTTTCACCGGCTAGACAAGTTAACTGTTTTTCACCGGCTAGACAAGTTAACTGTTTTTTACCGGCTAGACATGTTACCACTATGTGTTGATACAGTAATAGTTTGAAGCATACGTGGTTAAATTAAAAATGACACCAGACATCATTAAATTTATTTAACAAAACCCGTGCATACTGATAAAAGAACTTTCATTCGCCATTTAAAATTTACATAATAAGTTCATACTTTTTAAAAATAAGTGTGTTCTTATTTTTAGCGCAATTTTCATTCTGGAGAATTGCGTTTATTAACTCGTCATTTCTGGGAATGGATGGATGAATGAATGAATGTATGGATGAATGTGTGTCCGGGCTTTAAGTCGTATCTCCTCCTCAACGAAGCAATATCGATGACTAGTTCCAAAAGCAATTATATTAAGCAAGTTACGAGAATGAGCATAGGCCATAAAAATTCCGGGTTTCTTTCATGTATTTCCCGGAAAAGCCAAAAAACCTCGAAAAAAATCAGTTTTTGGCCCATATCTCGGCAACCAGACCACTTAGCGACTTGAAACATGTACCAATCGATTCCTGCCATAATTTAGAACAATATTGCCGAAGAAAGTTTTCAAAAATATCCTATCGTTCGGTCACAAATTTTAAAATTACATAAACACCTACAAACCGATCGTTCTTCTAGCTTGAACGCACCCCAGCGTTATACGTCAGAGCTATTTTTAGATAACACTAGAATACCCGTCATCCGTTGGATAACTGTGGGTTTCGGGGGTCATCCATCAAAAAACATCACGTCTGTCACTCAGAGGCATAGCGAGCCTTCCCGGCGCCCGGGGACAAACTTTTCGATTTTAACCCCCCCCCCCCCCCCAAGATTTCGATTTTCAACCCCCCCCCCCCCTCAAACTTTTTATGTGCACCCCCCCCCCCTCCCCCACTCAAACTTTCGATTTGAACCCCCCTCAACCTTTCAATTTATTTTTCCAAACCATTTTGGCGCCCCAACATATGTCCCCCCGCCCCCCCCCTCCACCTCCCCCCGCCTCCCCTTCCCCCCCCCGCCTCCCCTCCCCTCCCGCCCCCCCCCCTCCTCGCTACGCTACTGCAGTGTCACTTATCGTCACAAAAAACAGACCCCACATTCAAAAATATGTTTTTTATCTTTTAAAAACACCGAAAACAACGATTTCGGACTATCCCTTCATATACTGACGTCACAGGTGACCTACTCAACTCTACTTCACCTGCCCAGTGTCCCGCCAAGTCTCAGACAACAAAAACTATTCCAGCCGAGCATGTCTCTAACCACACTATCCCTTCATTTGCTTAGGACAAAAAAACAGATGAACCCTACTTCACCTGCCCTGTGCCCCGCGAGGTCCTGATAGTCAACCTTATCATTCACATATAGGGCTTAAGAAAAAATAATTGAAAACGTAAAAAAAAAAAAAGTTCTATTAATGTTTATGACACTGACTTTAAAATTTAGCCTTCATTCTCCAAAGCAAATTTTAAAATGCTTTTCTGGCATA